CAAACGCTTTATGTAAAATCAACTATGCCCCCCGAACTTCTCAGCATGCGTTTGCTGTCATATCAACACAAATGGATGTAATAACGTTAACAAATATGAGGGTTTTATATATTCAATCGCGCCAGCTCCAGGCCGCAGCGCATAACTTACTCGCGGCGTCGCGGGCTGATTCCGGCTCGCATGCGGCAGCGCCTGCTCGCTCGGCCGCCGCATCTGGCTCGATTGACTCGGACTGGAATCGGGCAGTGAGTCCAGGCATCCGGAGTAGGTCCAGCAGAGGTAACATTAGTCAGTCTGAGCTCTAAGAGATAAGTCTCCGGCAGGCGAGAATCTAGCCGGAACTGTGTTTTGCTATCTGGGTGGCTAGGCGTGTATCAGCAAACTAATAAAGCCCGAAAAAAGCCCTGACCTTAGCGAATAAATAGTGTTCCACCAGGATCATGTATGTCAGAAACTATAGTTTACTGCTGAGCTCATTTTGTCATGGTAAAATAACACAGAAATCGAATAATAACATTTCAGTCTACTTCAGTCTTCTGCCGAAGCTCAGACGCCGCGCTTTGAGAAACTTTCAATCACAGCTGTCAATCACGATGACACGCCCAGCATTAAATTACTGCTAAAAACAAACTGTTTACAAAAATGAAGATCTGCACCTATTTCAGCACAATAACCAGTGCCTTAATCGACCAGAACTATCTTTCGGGACATTTTATTGCAAGTGTAATATTTTTTTTTATTTGGGCTCAAGTCTCCTTCATTAACACGGAGGAGGCGGGCTTTATGACTTGCACTGCAGCCAGCCCCCAGGGGGCGATCTAACGGCCGAAACCTTCACTCGAACGCAGGCTTGCGGCACACTTGGGTAGAACATACAAACTCCACGCAAAAATGCCTCCTGGCCAAGACTTAAACCAGCAACTTTTTTCTTCTGAGTGCTAACCACTGAGTCACAGTGTGGCCCCTACTTGCGCTTATTATTATAAAATAAATAAATAAATAAATATTTACTTAATATTAATATTTGTTTTTACAATATGTAACCCTGGACCAAACCAGTCATATATTTAATCTTCTAAAATAAGATTTTTAAAAGTTCTGAAAGCTGAAAAAAAGGAGCTTTCAAGTTTGCTTTGTTAATATAGACAAATATTTGGCTCTTTTTGAAAATCTGAGATCTGAGGGTAAAAAAAAAATATTAAGAAAATCACCAGAAAGTAATTATATAAAGTGCTAATAAATGCACATTACTCATAAAAATAAACTTTTAATATATTTACAGTTGGAAGTTTACAGAATGTCCACATAGAACATGATCTTTACATAATATTCTGATGATTTTTGGCATAAAAAAAAAATCTATACTTTTTCCCCATATAATGCATATTTTGCTATATATCCTCCTGCAACATAAGATCAGAGTCACATACTTGAAATTAAATAATGAAAAAAATCATTTCATCTGATCTCACACTTCAGTAGCTTCTTTGGCCCCCTTTGTGTCAGGGAAAACAACACTTAAAATGATGTTGTCAGGAAATTGATATTCACACACACAGAATGCACAATTACACACTGCCGCACTTAAGACCGGCAAGAGTCAATTGCTTTATTGACAGCACCGCATGGTCTCTCCATAAAGACCAGAACAGTCCCGGCAGAGACAAAGCACCTCCGTTCCGCCGTCTTACCCTACTGAGCAGTACAAGAAGCATCCAATTAAACTAGCCACCTGTTTTGACAGAGCTGAAAATTTCAGCCAACGTGGCCTGAGGCGCAGTCAGCATCACAGCCGACTCATTGCATATTCTGCCATTAACACAACCCTCTACACGTTGCAAACCAAATCCTTACACCCCCCAAAATCAGCCACTGAGCATGTCTTGACACAAAAAGTCACATTTATAATCCAAATGTCTAAGTTCCACCCACAAGTGTCAGCAATGGAGTCAAAGTATTTAGCTAGTGAAAACAGTCAACGTGTGGAAAAATGATTTAAGGGAATGGTTACAAAACTTTACTTATGACATACAGTGCCCAGAATTAAGGAGTACACCCCTTAAAAATGTATATGTATTTATTTTTTGAATATCAACTATTTATACTTAAAATTGTATTTTAAATTTAGCATTTTCAGCATGTGTAGTGGTTGAAGAGTATTGATTTTTTTCCATGGTTTTAAGTTGATGGATTAGTTTCATTAATGGCTTTGGAACTGATTGTAAAACCAACACTTTACTTGAAGGGAGTGTTCATAACTTAAGACTGTCATGAAATCTTTATAATCATGACATGAGACATCATGAATATGTGATTTTTATCCATGCTCACGACAACTGTCATCATGTGTGATCTGCATGTTTAATGCAAAAATGACATAGTTAGAGATGTGTTTGTTATGACAACTTCATATGAACAAATACTGTTGTGTTTGCCAGCAAATTTGCCTCCATATCCTTCCAAACTTCATTTGCCATCAAACCTTGCATCCACACACCGGTTTCAAGTTCATCCTGATTTCACACACAGCTGAAGTACATTATCATTAATTACTTGAACTGTAAATACACCTTTCATTTACACATCTGTTGCTGAGTCAGGCAGCAAAGCATCAAAACAATATAAATAGTCCAAAGGGTCAAAACACAGGAAGGCAAAAACAATAGAAATGCTTAGAAATGCAGCAACAAATGCTAAACAAGACTCAACTATGGATGAATGTATGATTAGTGTTTAAATAGTATGTGTAATCTGTGTAAATTATCTGCAGCTGTAATGAGTGTAAAGCCCTGGTCAAATCACATGATTTTGTTATGATTTCGGCACGATTTCCTTGATGCAGGGTGTCCTGGGGATTCGTAAATGACAAATGGGCAACGTGACACAAGATACAAATGTTTCTTCTCGTGTAATGGGGCATAGTTCACAACAACTGATACCATGTCTGCGATGCCTCAAGACACCATCGCAGAAAGAATGTTTACCTTTTTCCCCAATCTTCATGACAAGTTAGATCACATGGGTGACACTGGACAATAGGAGCACATAATTTCTCAGTAATATCCGCGGATGCTGCCGTTAAACCACGGGTCAGTTAATCAAAAAAATAGGCTGCATATTTACTTACGGGTGGGTCTCAGGTGGATAAGATCAATCATTGGTTACGCAAAGTTTAACTACTTTCTCTAAAATACTAATGTGTTTTAAGCTATTCTATTTGACAGACTGACACAAATATGCAGACATCCCCATTCTTACAACGAGTTCACTCAGCTTTCCAAATGAGTTTGTTCTTTTGAGGTAAACAAATCAGTGCTGCCAATGCATTGCAAAACCCTTACTTATTTAAGGTACTTGATTTTAGGCTAGATTTTATTTTATTTAACAGATCAGTTTGTGCTTTGGCACTGAAGCATAGCAGACTGTTTTGCACCACTTCACCTGATGATATTGGTTATTCTTGTCTATTTAGTAGATAACTTTAAAACAAGAAACATTAAAATTAAGATACATATTATACCAAACATAATTCGCTTCAAAAAGATATTTGTTTCAAGAAAAATACATGAATAATTTTTTTGTTTATGCAAGTCCACCATTAACTGTGCGGGAGGATGATTTGTTTTGATCCGTGAAAATAAAGGATTTAATTAATGATTCACTGTAATTGTTGTATTACTAACCTTGCCATTTTTTTGACATTATTGTGTCATGAACATCTGATTTTGCCTTGGTGCTGATGTGCTTTTATTTTCTCTGTCTCACTCGCGGCAAGTTCAGGCAAGGGATTGTTTAATAAGCAACCCATGGCAGAAAAATATACATTTAGTTTTCAAAGAACATATCTTAATATTAAAAATGAAAAATACGTGTTTGATCCAATCAATGTTAAAACGAATGCCTTTAAATAATGTAGCCTAGTTGTCAACCAGCATCAGCGTTTATTGATATTGACATAAGAAAAAAAAAAAAAAAAAACATTGAAACTATGATAAGAAACATTGTTATAGCAACACTTGTGAATGCTTTGGGAAATAATGCTCGTCGTAGAGGTCACAGGATGACTGATCGTGAAGAACAAGTAGTTTGGCACATTTGTTACCCACGATAAATCAAGATTTTATCAAGACAAAATTGCATAATTTGAATTAGTGACTAATTTGTGTTATGTGAAAAGGGCTTAAGTGTACAGATTATGATTAGTTGTAGCAGGAATTGATTGTCACAATGACTTGGATTTGTTCAGCAGGATATTTGAAGTGATCTCTAGGGAGGGCAACACTACTGGCGATCACAACAAATACATTATAAACTGGCTTTGTCTGTGTTGTGACAACTTTATATTATCAAGACAGCATAACTTGTCATAACTCTGTCATAAACATGATTGTCATGAAACCATTATATTTGTGTCATTAATATTTTTCTGATAAAACTGATTTTTTAGTGGAACAAAATTACTTTTCCATCAAAAGTTCTCATCAAAATTGTCCATACACTGTCAAATTATTTTAGAGCAATGTCATGAATATTTAATGACATTTTAATGGCAAACTGAATTAATACCACTATAGTTGAGGTCAAGAAAAATACTAATGATGATGTTATAAAATTAATGACACAATTATAATGACATGTTTTTGACAAATTATGTTGTCTTAAACACATATTAAACAATGTCACCTTTTCATTTGAAATGACTCAACTGAGTGAATGACACTTAATGACAGTTTAAGCCATAAGTATACATAAAATCTCCTTCATATTCAATATATGCATCATGTCATGTTTATAAAAGTTTCATGGCAGTCTTATGAACACCCCTTCAAGTAAGCTGTTTCCAAAAAAAAACAGATTTGCGTAAATATCTTATTTAATACCATCCCATAGAAAGTATTTAAAAAGCAAGATGAATGTTTTTTTCCCCTGATTTATCAGTTTGAGTGTACTCATTTATGCTGGTCACACAAATGCTGGATTAATGTACAATTTGTCCTTACCCTCTGATCATGGCAAAGGATTCGTCGCTGGAAAAATAAGCAGCTCCAGGAAGTATTGTGACAGTTTCTTTACCTGAAATGGAGAGAGTGAAATGAGAAGAGCTTTCATTAAGTGCTCTGAATGAACAAATTAGGTTATTAAAAAGTAATTTATGCTAATGCTGCATAACTGTCCTTAAGTACGAAAGTGAGGGATAATTATTACCGGCATTGATGAGATCCGCATCAACCGCGTCCTCTGTTGGATAGGGACCCTGAATTACAAAAAATAAAATTACCTGCTTATGATATTATGATGTATTATATATATATTTCACTTCTGATGACCACACACAGATACAAAAACACTTGTTACCAGACAATTTATGAAAACTGACTTCTACAGTAGGAAAAAAGATAAAAAGTCATCAATGATTACTTTCAATTGTTTATAAGACTACTCTCAACATATATAAAATATATTATTTTGTTTTCAGCAGAAGAAATTCGTAATGGTTTGAATCAGTTTGACAATTTTCATTTCAGAAATCAAAAAGAGCTTTATTGTCAGGTATGTTCGCACATACGATGAATTTGTTTTCGTGACAAAGCTTCTACAGTGCAACAGAATTACAGAGACAGGACAAAAAAAACAGATAATAAATATATAAATTTATTTATATAAATAAATATATTGTGTGAACTATTCCTTTAATACAGAAATAAATACAATAAAATATTACTTTAAATAACATTAGAGATAAGCATTTAACCAGGTTTTCTGCAGGTTTCACCAAGTTAAATTTAAGACCTTTCAAGCATTTAAGACCATTATGAATGAAATTTTAAACTCGTACAGGGCTACATGCTAAGCAGCTTTTCAAATGGCCCAGTTGGAAAAGATTTTTATTTGCCCTATCAAACTTTTTTCTCTTATTTAATACATTTAATAATACAATGATAATAATTGAATAATTAAAAAATATATATATTCTAGTTCATTCTGAGCAAAAATTTTTAAATATTGTCAAAACAAGCAAGCTCTAGTTGTAAAAATACAACTTTAAAAAATAAACTAAAATGAAAAAAATAAATGTCTGTGCGGGTCAGCTTGCTCAGTAGGAAATACATGGAAAACTTTTAAACAAATGTTATTGTAAAAAAAAAAATAATTAAACCATTATGGTAAATAGAGTTAAAAGTACACTCTTAAAAAAACTTAAAAGTTTTATTTTTTATTTATTTACTAATTGGATGGGTACTGGCCAGATTGGGTAAAAACAGTAAGATTGTGAAGTCAATTTATATTAAAATGCTATTTATTTTTGAGATGGCAATCCTTACATCACTATTCCGTGTCACACAACCTTTCAAAGTTAATTTTAATATGATGAATTTCTGCTCACAACGCATTCATATATAACTACCAATAACTGACAATGTTTTAGAAAAGATTCAATGCCACCCTAAGATGTGTCAAAAGCTTTAGATAAAAAAAAAAATTATATATATATATATATATATATATATATATATATATATAAACACATACAAATATACACACACACACACTCACACACACACACATACATACAAATACATATATATTTCATATAGTCACATTTAATTAGCATTATCTTATTTTAAAATGTACATTAAAGCCAAGTAATTACAATGTTTTTCAAAAAATCTACTCTAATGTGAGTGGACTCCACTTGTTCTGTTCCAAGATCTAGCTTTAGTTCGAAAAACAAATGGATATACTCGTTGTTTTTTTTTAATACACCCACATATGAAAGTGTGGAGGTCTCCAATGGTAACTCTTCCCATATTTATTATACTGCTGCTAATACTGACACAGCAATCGAGGCACTGGCTGAGTTGGACAAGTGATTCTCAACTAATGCAATGGTTCTAGCGTGGCATATGATGTTGTTCAGCTGTGACAATAATGTCATTGTTCCCTTACTAAACATGCACTGTTTGTGTGCTTAAACGCTGTGTTCCAGACGCTTTCAGCAGTAAAAAAATGTTGCACTTGCGTTCCAGTCAATCTGGCATTACAGAAACGTTTACTATGTGAGGTGTGAATATAATAATACTTCATTACTAAAACAAAAAGAAAATCAGCGTTTCTAGAGGTTTTATCAAGTCGAATTTAAGACAATTTAAGATCATAATGAATGAAATGTCAGACTTACACAAGGCACAACAGTAAAGATTGCTTTTTAATGGACAAGTTAAAACCTTAAACATTAAAAACTCATGTTGTTGATAAAAAGATAATTAAATCAATAAGTAAATAGATTTTATAAATAAATAAACATCTCTTTAAACTTTTATTGAAATATTGTTAGTGATTAGATGGGTGTTGGCCTTGTAAATGTTGTTTGTCCTTTGAAAATCGCATGATGAAATCAAAATGTACATATTAGTGCACTGAAAAGCTAATATGATGTCTGAAATAGCATTTTCACATGTGTTCCCAAACATTATGTTTGTAAAATACTTGGATGTTTTTTTTTTACAATGTGTCACAACTTGGGCTCCAAGTTAATACTAAGTTAATACCCCTGAAGAAAAAAAAAATAGGTTTGAATAACTAAAAAAGTAGAAAACATGGTGTATGGTTTGTAAACAAAAAATCTTGCTACCAAATTAAAGTACACCATTAAGCTATTTGAAATATTTTTTTGCATGCAGTGTGTAGTGTATAACTGTTTGAGAAAAGGCAACATTTTAAAAGGTCAAAGCACACAGCTATTTTCTCAAAAATAGAAACAAATGATTGTTAACCGTCATAATGATTCATCAGCAATTTCAGCTTCACTTCTGTAACTGATCAATCACACATGAGTAACTAGCCTATGGTGTTCATTGGCTGCCCATGAACTGTCAAAATGTCATGAACTGACCTCAAACACTTTAGCTCAATGGTCTCAAACTCGATTCCAGGAGGGCCGCAGCTCTGCGCAGTTTAGCTCCAAACACCTCCGACTCACACCTGCTTAGTGGTCTACAATGGTCTTGACCACCTTGATTAGTTGGATCAGGTGTGTTTGGTTAGGGTTGGAGCAAAACTGTGTAGGCCCACCAGGAATTGAGTTTGAGACCTATGCATTAGCTGGTTTGTGTGCTCAAATTCATGCCAGGGAGAAGCATTTATCGCCAAGACAAAGCAGTTATTCGAGAACAAATCCTGTTATAATTAATGAAGCTGTGAGATAAATCTTTTACATTGTGTCTGTTGTTTATGATGGGAGAAATGAAAATCACAGAATTCAGACACTGAGCATGATCACTAAACAAAACCAGTGGTGACTAATATAAATCCCGAAAGAAACATTTATTATTGTTTAATATTCTCGAAATTCTCTAAAGTGAGAAACAAGTCATGCTTGTCATGCTCCAAGTCATGCTTGTAATTTAGGTTTGGAACAAATAGTTCTTCTAGTTCCAGTGTTTTATTATTACACTCAAGCACAAATTAACATAGTTAAATCCATACCATTATTACTGTCCTACAGTGTTTACAATTGTTGAGGACCAAAAAAGCTTCTGTACCTGAGATTCAAATATAGTTATTAGCGCTTGGTTTCTGACACACAATGTTTGCTATATAGACCAAACACACACTGGGCCGTCCAATCGATCACAGCAGAGAATGATTGTGGAAAAGTGGGGATTTAGAAATAATGAATCTTCGAACAAACAATTTAAGATTCTGAAAAATAAGGTGATTTTAAATGTACATCAGCAGAAGATGAAAGCATCTTGTTGTAAGAGACCTTTAGGAAACCTTTAAACTAGCATAACAAAGCACGTTGATATTTATGTGAAAACCATGATGCTTTTTTGGATTATCTGATAAATAGAAAGTTTAAAAGAACAGCATTTATTTAAAATAAAATCAAAATTGCACCATAATAAATGCAGTTACAGTCATTTTTATAAGTTTGATGCATCCTCACACAATAAAAGAATGCATTTCTTTCAAAAGAAAAAGAGTGACTCAGCCCAAACTTTTAAATGACAGTGTAGCTCTCGATAATTTAACTTCATTATAATTTCAGCTTGTCAAATGAAACTGCACAAAACAAAAAGATACAAACTTTAAGAGTGATCTTTTACTCTTCGTAGCATAAACATGCTTGTAAGGTATTTAAAACTCAAAATCACAGCAAACGTTGCATTGCTTTTGTAACTGTATTTAGCCAATTCAATACAATTATGTGAAAGGAGTGCTTACCAGGCCCAGAATGCCATTTTCACTCTGCAGGTGGACGGTAATATCTGGTTTGATGAAATTACTGGCCAGCATGGGGATTCCGATGCCCAGGTTTGCTAAAAAGGTTGCATTAATGGATTATCATAAGAACTATGCAGGAAATACATTTCTTTACTTCCAATAAAGTGGTAAAATAAAAGTAAACTGGTAACACTTTACAATAAGGTAAATTAGTTAATGCATTTACTAACATGAACTAATCATGAACAACACATGTACAGCATTTATTAATCATAATTGAACATTTACTAAAGCATTATTAGCATCCAAGTCCATGCTTGTTGACATTAGTTAATGCACCATGAGTTAACATGAACTAACAATAAACAACTGTAATTTCATTAACTAATGTTAACTAACATGAACAAATATTGTAGTAAATTTATTGTTCATTGTTAGTTCATGTTAGTAAATGCATTAATTAACATTAACTAATGAACCTTATTGTAAAGTGTGACCAGTAAACTCAATGTGTATTAAGTTCATTTTAACTGCATGATTTTTTTGCATTCCCAAAAATTTGTAGAGACATAATGGGTGAGCATTTAATGACAGAATTCTCAATTAAAGTCGGCAAGAGTTAACCACTCCTCCTTTATCTGAAATGGTTTAATTTTACAAGTCCCGTGGAGTTAAACAGTTGAGTTTTACATTTTTTTTAATCTATTCAGACAATCTCTGAGTCTGGTGGGAGCAATTTTAGCTAAGCATAAATCATTGAATTGGATTAGATTATTAGCATCTCGCTCAAACTTCCATCAGTCTTAGTACAAAATCAGTGTTATTCCTTAAACAAGCGTACGCACATTTTTTCCCCCTTTTATTAAGATAGAATAATAGAGGACTGACAGGAAAGTATTGGGAGCAGAGAGAGGGGAAGGATTTAGGAAATAACTTGCCTAATTACCCTAACTTGTCTAGTTAACCTAATTAACCTAGTTAAGCCTTTAGATGTTACTTTAAGCTCTATAGAAGTCTTGAAAAATATCTAGTTAAATATTATTTACTGTCATAATGGCAAAGGTAAAATAAATCAGTTATTAGAAATGAGTTATTAAAACTATTAGGTTTGGAAATGTGTTGAAAAAATCTTCTCTCCGTTTAACAGATATTAGGGAAAAAAATAAACAGGGGGGCTAATAATTCAGGGGGACTAATAATTCAGGGGGACTAATAATTCTGACTTCAACTGTATATGAGCATACATATAATTTAGAAGTCCAAACATCAATCACCTGCTCTATCCTAATATTAATGATAATAATTATTGTGTCTTGCCTTGTATTTAGAGGAAACTTTGACTGCTTCTTAAGAGAGCGTACAGGTATGTTTCCTGTGAGTGATGAATGGCTGCTCAGGCCCTGATCACACTTATGTGTGGCAAAATGTTAGGTGCCTTTTTAAATGGTTTTCGAAAGGCATAAATAATGTGTGACTCTGTTTATGTGCCCTGTGTGCATCTAGCATTTGCCTGCTGCACCTCGCATTTTGACGGTGTGCTCTGTGCAACTGCAGTTGTAAAATGTAATCTGTGCGCAGAAAAAAGCACCTGCGCTTTAAGACGGTTGATACACTATGGCTGACTAGCATCATAAAACACACTCTTTTGAAAAGAGTCTTTTCTAGTCAACAAAAATACAGTGCATATTCAGAACGTCAATCTTTTAATGGGGCAATTATCAAACCTCTTTTTTTAGCAAGATGCTAATGGTCTAATCCGATTCAATGACTTATGATAGGCTAGGCTAAAAGGGCTCCTGCCAGACCTGGGGCCTCATGTACGAAGACTTGCGTGGAAATCATACTAAAACATTGCGTACGCACAAAGCTGTAAATGCGTACGCCGAATCTCACGCATATTTTTTTGTACATCCGAATAAACGTGAAACTGAGCGCAACATGCACGAGCACAAAACCCCTCCCTGCCTCCTCCCCTGTATGAATATGCTAATGACTATGCTAATGGTAAAACCCAACGAAAAAGCAATGGCAAAAGCAAGCAAATAGAGAAACTTTGAACAGAATGTGAATTGGAGGTGCTCCTTTCGGAGGTAGACCGGAGAAAAGCGGTGTTAGTTGCAAGTTTGTTCTCCGGAATTAACAACAAAAGAAAAAAATAGAGTGGGAGAGTTTAGCTGATGCGGTTAACACAGTTGGGTCTGAACATCGCACTGAGTGAATTAAAGAAGAAATAGTGTGGTTTATAACTGTAAACTGTTGCAAAACCCGTAACAGTCTCAGTGGCGCAGCTTGTAAGACGCATGTCAACATGTTTTGACACGTTCGAGCATGAACTCGGTTCGAATCCAGCGTCTGATGAACTCTTTCTTCTTTTTCCCCTCCGCTACATATCAGATTTTGCCAACTATTTATCACGAGAAAGACAAGTAGGAATCATTAATAAGTTTGTGCATCATATTTTTTTTGCACATTTATTGAATGGAAATGTTTCTGATTCACGCATGCAAATTCATCTTCAGATAGTGTCTTTATAGCAATGTGTGAGCAGTAGATAGCTCAGATTACATTGGGAAAACAGGCGACCGCTGCAAATTGTGCTTTAATGTTTAGCTGGCCAACTACGTGGTATGGAAACCTTATATACCTGCTAGATGAACCCGTCTCATATAGCTGCCATTGCAAGGCTCAAAGACACTTTGTAGAGAGGAATTTAACACAACTGCCTCTAGGAGTCGCCAATGGAAATAAAACAGACACGCACAAAAAATGTGCGTACGCCAGCCATAAAGCTGCCTTGACGCTGCGCACATTCCCACGTTCAGTTCATTGTTAGTAAATCCAAACGTGAAAGATTCTGAGCGTGAAACCTGGCGTACGCAAAGTTTTTGTGCGTACGCAGAATTGATACATGAGGCCTCTGGAGATTGGCTGAATGGATTGAAAATGGTAAAACTCTAAGGCAGCTCAACCTCATTCCACGTTTTGTATGTCTCCTTTGTTTGTCACACCTATTACAGGACTTTCAGTGGCTTTTTTCACAATATGCGTTTTTCAGTGTTCTTGCGTCCTCGTGTTCTCATGTAACATCATCATGAACTGTCCAACTTCAGTTCCAAAACTCAAAATCGCAAAAATGGAGGATGTGTGAAAGTTCCTGGATGTGTTCTTGATATCAAGGATACGTGGATGCAGACTTGAGCACAAAAATCGATCGAGAAATCTCAGAAGTCTTTGCGACTGAATAAAGGAGATGGAAAGCACAAATTTATAAATATATAAATATAGATTTATTATTAAAGTTCAGAGATATAACTTATTTATCTCAGGAGTTTCTCTAAATGAGATGGTGAAAGTAAACATTCACAATGAAAATCTAAATAAAGCCGTAATCGCATTATCTGCTGAATTTCCTATTAAAATCGGTTTTATTTGTTTTGTGCAAAGTATATTTGTAAGACTTTTATGCATTTTTTATGTATTGAAATGAGGGAAAAACAAAATAATTGTTGTATGAATGCTGTATCGTTTAAATAATTTTCTTTAAAAAAAAATATGTGAAGGTCATGTGACCATCGCATTTTGTGTTCTCACAAGGTAACCTGGCAAGACCGCTCTCCACGAGAACTCAAGTCCGTTCTCTGCATTCATGGAATTGAAAAACAGCCAATCTCTGCTAATGAGCTGATGATCTGAATCAGGTGTGTTTGGTTAAAGAGACATGGAAAATGTGTAGAGCTGGTCGTCCCCCAGGAACGTGGTTGAGAAACACTGCTCTAGATGAGTTGTAAAATCAGTCTTTTCCAAAAAAAGTTAACAGTTTCTTTAAAGGATAAAAGTTTATCAACTTTACAAGCAAAAATTTAAGCAAAATGGTCTGAAATACTATGCATACCGTACATCCCGTCCTCAAACTCGAGTGCAGCTCTACGAATAATCCTCTCTCTCACAATATCAGAGTCTTTCTTGGGTTTGGGATTTTCAGCCTGGGCTTTCTTGACTGTACGCCTCTGCAAAAGGTCAGTCAATAAAATGACAACGGCAATAAGAGATAAAAGATGACAGAGGTTAGATTGATCAAGGAAAACTGACAGAAACAAGCCAGTCAAGTCATGCCAGCTCACCTCGATTCGCTTCTCATAGTGATCTCCGTTCACAATCCTGTGGACGTAGATGCTGGGAATGTGAATGTCTTCTGATGCAAACGTGCCCACGTCCACAATCTCCTCTAC